TTTCTATTTGAAACAAATAAATAATTTAGTAGATTCTTTCACAAATTTATTTTTAATTAACTCAAAAAAATTATATTCGGTTCAAATAAAATATTTCTCTGGGTGTAGCATAAAGAATTAAGTATTTCCAATTACACCCAGACAACAATTTTATTTGAATCAAATATTATTTATTTGAGTCAAATAAATATAAATTTGTCAAAAAATTTGTTAAATTATTTATTTGTTTTAAATAAAAATTTTACTCAACACAAAAATAATTATTTTTAGGTCAAAGAAACTACTAAATTATTTATTTCTTTCAAATAAAAATTTTACTCAACACAAATATAATTAATTTTTGTAATTAGAATTACTTCATTTTTAATGCTACACCCCGGCAAAAATGTTATTTTAACCAAATATAATTTGTTTAAATTAAATAGAAGTAAATTTTTCAAATATTCTACTAAATTATTTATTTACTTTAAATAAAAATTTTATTTAACACAAAAAAATTTGTATTTGAACTAAATAAAATTTCTTTGAAACTAATTAAACCTAGACAAAAATTTTATTCTAACCAAATATAATTTGAGTTAAAGAAATGTAAATTTTTCACAAAATTAAAGAAATTATTAATTTGTTTTAAATAAAAATTTTATTTGTCATAAATAAAAGTAATTATTTCAACCAAAAAAAAAAAATTATTAGCACCGATTACCTAAAGTTTATTTGTATCGAACAAAATTTATTTCAACCTAACAAAATTTATTTGAACCAAATAAAATTTATTTAAACGAACTAAAATTTACTTAAACAAAGCAAAATTTATTCGAAACAAATAAAAAGTAAAAGCTCAGTCAAATACATTTTCATCCATTTCATACATTTTTCATTTTTCTCAAGTGGTACTCAAAAATATTTGTCAAAGATTTATTTTTACAATAAGAACATTTCTCGTCAGTGAATAGCATTAAACAGATTATACAATATTGAATCCTTCTTTCGGCTCTAATAAATTTAAAAGATTTTCACAAAATCATTGTTTCGACAAAATATATAAAAACGTGAGATTAAAAGAAAACTATTCCCCTCCTGGAGCTGCTTTTCCTCTCTCTCTCTCTCTCTCTCTCTCTCTCTCTCTCTCTCTCTCTCTCTCTCTCTCTCTCTCTCTCTCTCTCTCTCTCTCTCTCTCTCTCTCTCTCTCTCTCTCTCTCTCTCTCTCTCTCTCTCTCTCTCTCTCTCTCTCTCTCTCTCTCTCTCTCTCTCTCTCTCTCTCTCTCTCTCTCTCTATAGAACAGGCGCTCTATAGCGCAAAGTCGATTCAACAGGTGCTACAGTGCATTCTTTTGTACCACGCAAAAATATGATACGAGAGCCAGAAAAAGAAGTTGTGCACACGTAAATTTTATAGTGTAAAGCCCACCTACACGTAATCAGGTTGTTTAAAAAAAGAAAAAATAAGGAAAAAAACTGTCATAACGCCATAGCAAAAATTCACAACGAAAAAACAGCTTTTTGTGCGTATATACACTATACATACATACACCGAAAAACAATGAAAATTTACGCTTATTGACGCGAAATACATATTCTTTTTCTTTAAAAAAAAAACTTTTTCAAATGAAAAATATTCCACTACAATTTTTTTCTCTTCATCAAAAAATAAAATCACCAATAAAATTCATAATCAAAAAATATTTCACATTTTCTGAAAAAAAATTCCAAACACAAATATTAATTATATACGAACATATAAATACAGAGCAAATTTCTTGTATTGAAGAAACAAAATGAAATTTGTCAGCGAGTCAAAACGTGAGAATATTTAATTAATACAAAATAAAATCTACATTTGCGATAAAAATTTCATTTTCTACATGGAATTGTTCTGAAAATTCTTTGTAACTTTTCATTGTTGTCGAGAATATTCCAAGCACGTAAATACTGAGTAATTCATCAAATATGAATACATAATAGTTGAGTTTAACTATTCATGAATAGCTGCGTTACGAATTGACAATGCTTCTGATTGGATCTCAGGGAAAAATCTATTCTTAAAAAAGTCTAGGTCCCTTCAATCACAGTTTTTTCTTCTCCTTCAAAGTTCAAACAGTTCTTAAACGAAGAGGGCATAATTTTAACAGTATATACAAGAAGAAAATATTGCATCAAACTCAAATAAATTAGCTATGTAAATTATCTAATTAAGCTTATTGTAGTTTCTATTATTCATTTTATAACTGAAAAGAAACAATTTTATATCATTACCATTATTTATGTATACTTTATTCACTACACGTCGTTTATGAGAGAATTTTCATGCCCTCTAGACAGGAATTTCAAAAACTTTATTGGCGCGAAATTCAAAAAAAGAAAAATTTAATCAAGAATACATTAATTTTAGGATAAACAATTAATTAATATCAATAAAGAAATAATTGTCTATATACCTAATATTTACTAGAATTTACTTACAAATTCTAATGAATTGTTCTAGTAAAATTATATTTTTTTACTACAATTCTAATAATTTTTTGGGATAATTTAAAACAAATTTTCAATAAAATTAACAATATTCCACTATAATGAAAAATAACATGGAAACTTTATACAGAATTGGGAGAAAAAATTTAAGAAATAAATTCATTCCCCCTCATAAATCATAATTCACAAACAATGCAAATTGAGGCAATTATTTGTCGTTAGAATTTGTCATCATCATTCTGTAAATTTGAAAACACATCAATCCACCTGTTTCGTGCACGATCAATCACCTTTTTTCTTGGTTTCATTTATGAATATGCCTGGCAAACAATTCTCTAAATAGCAAAAACGATCTTAAAAGTTAGCTATTTTTTAATTTGACATCCCTTTTTTCGAATTTATTTCAAAATATGCCATTCCTATCAAATAAATTTGCTGTTTAACAAAACCAACCAAATCCAATTATTAAAAATTTTAAACAAAACGATATCTTTAAATTTTTATATATATATATTATTTTTATATATTTTATTTTATTTTTGACAATTTTTGAAATAATAAAAAAAATTTTTTAACATAAAATTTATAAAAACTCAAATTTTTTTGGTTTATATTTTGAAAGACGATAAAATTTTGCAAATAATAAGACCTCACAGAAGTCATTTGGCCAAAATTAGTAGAAGATATTCTTAAAAATCGTCATTTTCAATGTTTTACAAAAATTTAAATAACTTCTAAAATAATGAACGCTTTTTAATAATCCTAGGCTTATTTAAAGGTCATTTTCTACGGAATAAGAATTACTTATAGGAATTAACCTGTAATTTTTTATTTAGAATAAGCATGACGTCAAAGTTGGACAAAAAAATTGGAAAAATTTGAAATAAATTTTTTGTACTAAAAACTATTCTAGAACATATATAAAACATGATATGGTGTAGATTTTCCAAGAAAATTTAATAAAAAAATATGTTTGAATTTCAAAAATTATTTTTCTTTTAATAATATTATTTCAAATTTTTTTGTCCAACTTTGACGTTATGCTTATTCGAAGTAAAAAATTACAGGTTAATGCCTATAAGTAATTCTTATTCCGTAGAACATTTTCTACGGTTAGAACCTTTAAAATAAGCCTAAGATTATTAAAAAGCGTTCATTATTTTAGAAGTTATTCAAATTTTTGTAAAACATTGAGAATGACGATTTTTAAGAATATCTTCTACAAATGTTGGCCAAATGACTTCTGTAAGGTCTTATTCTTTTCAAAATTTTATCTTCTTTCAAAATATAAACCAAAAAAAAATTTTAGTTTTCATGAATTTTATGTTAAAAATTTTTTTTCATTCCTTTAAAAATGGGTGAACTGACAATTTCGGACGGTACTGTATATATCTTCTTTTTTTACATTTTTCATTAACTGAATTAAAATATTTACAAACTGAACAAATATCCTTTAATTTCATTTTCATTGTTTGTTTAAGAATTTTTATTATGACAAAAGATCATCATTTTATTAACATAACTTGCACTGATTTAAATTTAAGGACAGTAATTAACTTTGTGAACAATAAATCAAAGAGGTTAAGTCTGGCATAGAGAATCCAAGTGACTACTACATGGTAATTAGGACTTTGTTTAGTAACTTCGAGTTTTCATGATGAACGTTTAGAACAAGTTTCAAACTCTCCAGTTGGAAAATCTTCACTTTATCTCAAAACTTATTTTCTCCTCTTAAATATACAATAGAAATTAGCACAGTTATCATTTACTTTAAACAACAGAGTAAAAAATTTCTACTATTTCTTTACAAAAAGAATTTTCATTCACATTGGAAATTTTTTGGGTAACTTGGTGGTACTATCTAATATTTATAATTTATAATTAATTTAATTATTATATTACTACTACTATTACTATTATTATTATTATTTCTTATTATTATAATTATTATAAATATCAAGTACTTAAGTATAATAATAATAATAATAAATCGTATTAATAATAAAAATAATTTTAAAAATAGAAGCAATAATAAACAAAATGGGGTATAAAATAATTGCAGCTTTAAAAGTTTCTTATGATGAGCGTTTAATGTTTGTTCACGTTAACAGAACTCAGAATATCAAGCTGCTCTAACCAAGTTTCAAGGATATTTTTCAAAGTAATTAAAGTCATATAAATCAAGAGATAAAATAAGAGAACTTTAAAGCTAAATATGTTAACTTTATACATGTTTATTATAAAATATAAAACCAAGAAAACGATCTTAAATCACATTTCAAATTCAGACATGCAATTCAATCTGTAACTGACACTCTCTTTTCAATATTTCCTTCTACAGTAACTTATTACGAAACTCTAATATAAATTTCCTTTCTTTTTTTCTCCTTCCCTATATGTATAAAATATGAACTATTTCGATATATAAAGCAGGTAATTTTATATTGTGAAAGATTGAACTTATCTAAATTTAAATTATATACTTCATAAAACTCTAAAATAAAAAAAAACAATTTCTTTGATTTTTCTAGGATCAATAAGCAATATCGATGGAGCTGAATACCACTGCAATAAAACTACAGTTCGAAAAGTCATTAGTGGAGTCGTAGGAGCTGCCAGTTCTGTCACATCGATTCAAGTTGCCAATCTTCTCCGACTATTTCGAATTCCCCAGGTGAGAATAAGAGAAATTTTATTTATCGTAAACAATTTTACTCTATAGAGTCAATGAAAATTTTCGACAATCATTCCTCTATTCTACTGGAAAAAAAATTAAATAGAAAAATCCATTTTTCAAATTATTTACAAATTTTTAATGTTCACGAAAAAATTAAAAATAAATCACTTAATAAATTTCTTTCTCCTTTTGTATTTTTCCAATTCTTCTTTTACTATCCTATAAAAGAATCTTTTCATTTCAACTTTTCTTTTTTTTCAATCGTAAAAACGGAGAGTAAAAAGCTTTTTATACGATATTTTCTTTTCGCAATGAATTTCGACCATCACAGTTTAAAAATATCTTTCTATATAAGACCATTCACGTAAACAAAAAAAAACAGTTGGGACATTTCATATGAAATTTAAAGTCTCACTGTTTCTCTATAAATTTGGTTATAATAAGTGATTAGTGTGCTTAGTAGGTGTGCAAATTAAAATATTACAATTTTAAGTTGAATTGGAAATAAAGGGCTTCATCCTGCGCCCCTTTACAGTGAGGTACAATTTTTTTTCTCTACTTTTAAATTACGTATGTGGTGAATAGAGTATTTATCACATATGTTATTCAAAAGTTGCTCATTTACCTCCCCTTAAGTGAAGGATGCAAGGAAAATGGAAATAAAATATATAATACACTCTGAAGTTGTCTTTTGTTTATATCACTTCCTCATAGAGGAAGTATTTTTGTTTTTTGTTATATTTAGATAGATTCTATATATTATATTATTTTATAATTAATTCAAAATTGTAATGAAAAATAGAAATTATCAGAATTTTTTTCACTTTTTTTTTATTAAAAGACTAAAATTTTGTTAAATATTGTTTTGTCAAATTGAAATTATGCAGATTTTTGTTCTTTACTTCTAAGCGAAATTAGAAAATTGTTAAACAACTGTGATTAAAAAATAGAAAATTTATTTATTTTGCATTATTTTTGTTTATGAGTCACAATTTTTTTAACAAAATTATTATTTTGTTTTAGAAAAAGAAAAAAAATATTTGCACAATTCCTATTTTTAATCTTTTTTTTGGAACAGGATTTTCCACAGGAATTAAGACATTCAAAAATTTCAAATTCAAACCATTTTTAAATTAAACAACTTATAAAAGAGATAAAATCATTATTTTATATCATAAGAATATTGTTACTATAACTTCATAAAAATTATTTTCATCATTTTAATTCAATTATTATTTTCTAGAATTTTAAATTATTTTTTATAATAATAATTAAATTCTTTAAAAAAATTGATTATTTATGAAAATAATTGAATTTCTTATTTAAAAATATCATCACTCTCTTCAGTGTTTAAATGTATTTAGCAAACTTTTTGTGTATGGTTTTTTTGAGTTAAACTCCTTTAGAGTATTGTGATTTATTTCTCAAAATGACATTTTGTTAAGCAAAAAATGTGTATAATACCCTCCTCATTTTTTATGTTACTCTTTGAATTTCTATATATTCTTACAGTTTCTAGACCGTTTTTGTCATTTATTAATATTATTTTGATATTCTTCTATTAAACTGTAAGATTCACTACAATAACTAACTTTCTAATGGACTTAGTGGAAAAACAAAAATGTCTAATTATATTACTTTATTTTCATTATTACACTACAACGGTGTTTACATCTATACCGAACTTAAACTTTTGAAGCGCCAACCTTCATATTGTATATGTTTTTATATGTTACAAATGTAACTCTTAGAATTAGGGAGTACGTAATGTACGAAAGGGCATGTCCCGTTATGTTATTAAATAAATAAATAAATAAATAAATTATTTATGAAAATAATTAAATGTTTGCAAACAATTTTATTAAAATTTTTTTGGGAAATTGTAGTAGATATTGAAATTTGAAAATCATTGAAATTAGAAAAATTTTTCAAAATAATTGAAATTTATACGACAAGAATTTTATTACAAAATTAGAAAATTTTTAAATTCTAGTATTTTTAAAATTGCTAATTTTATTTAAAAAAGTCTGTAAGAAGTTAGCTGCGCGCTTTGGCGCGCGAATTGTTGCTAGTACTATATATTTACAGTGACGACTTAAAACAAAATTTTATGTAAGAAACCTTCTGAGTCCTCAACAAATATTTTTGTTTTTTAAATAAATAATTGAAATATCAACAATTTTTAGTTAAACAAAGTATTTTTTAAAATAAAATATAGCATTTCCAGACAAAGAAAGATTTATAACATTTTTTGTATTTCTTAATAAGAAAAAAGTTATGAATAAATAAAACAAAAAGTTACTTTTTTATTATTGCAAATATCTTAAAAAATGTAAACAATTTAAACACTTACTAAGCACACTAAACACTAATAATTATAACCAAATTTATACAGAAATCTGGGACTTCAACTTTAAATTTCACATAAAATGCTACTCGAATAAATTTTACAACATTTTCTTCAATTATTCAAGAAAAAAAAAATTATTTTGAATATAGTTTGCCATTAAATTCCCTCAAAGTATAAGAGATTCTATATATAATACCCACCCCTCGTTTAACTTCCTTTCGGGTGTCCTTATGTAATTGGTACACCGCTTGAGCAGAGTAAATATTATAATATTATCTGCAGATTAATAATGGTCTGAAATGTGATATTTGCTAACTGCCCCGATTGTATTCGAAGGGAGCAAGAAAATGGGAAATCCACTAAATGCATAATACCTGCAGTTTATGACATAAACGTGAAACTTTAAGCTTCCATGCTAGTCATGTTCGAACGTAAATTCTCCTGTCTTTAATACTTATATTTGCATAGATATCACAATTAAAAAAAATTTCTACTCCTTCCCCCCTCCAATCTTACTATCAAATTATTTAGCTTAATGCCTTGAAGGAAGAAAAAACTTTTGTGGAAAAACGAATAAAATAACAAAAGAAATAAATAAATAACAAAAAAAAATAAATAACAAGAAAAACAAAAAACGAACAAAAAACAAGTAAACAACGAATACAAAACTAACGAAAAACTACAAAACAACTAGAAATAGATAAGGCACAATTTTTTTAAATTAAAAAAGCCCCTACCCATTTTCAGCTTTAGAGGAGAATATGTGAATAATAATAGTAAAAGGGACGAGCCCCATGGCTTTATTTGTTTTCGAGAAGAAAAGATTTTTCTGAAAATAAAAGTTTAATAATGAAATTATGAAGTTGGAACAAAAGCAGTAGTTGTATGCCCCTTTGGTCCGACAATTTCTTCTATGAAGTTAATCAACGGTCTGGTGTATATAAAACAATATATACAAAGTAGTATAGGAATAATTCGGTCAGACGCGCTGTAATGTAACAAGTTTGCAGGTGAAAAGTTTTCAAGTATTTCAGTAGAAAAGGAATACATTAATCGGACAAAACTTGTACATAAAAAAAATACTAATCCATCTCGAATTTCACAACAAATTACTCAAACACAGGAATATAAAATCCCTTTGTATTCATAGTAAAGACTGATCAGAAAAATACTATATATAATTTCTTAAATAATTGCTCTAATGAGTCTAATTATACTATTGTAAAATTACTGCAGTACAACCAGAGACAAATTTTATTTAAACCAAATAAAATTTATTTGAAACAATTAAAAAGTTTCGTTGGCGCTGTATCAAAAATATACTTTTTCTTAGTGTAATAAATATAATAATTTAATTTAATATTATTAATAATAATATTAATATTCTTAATACAATTATAAATAAATAAAAACGAATACAGAACTAAATGTAATAAATATTATATTACGATGTTATTTTGTTTGGATTAATAAGTAATAAATATTGTCAACTATACCCGTGTAGAAATTTAACCATGGCCCAAATCGGGGCCAGATCTTTTGATCATTGTGTAGGCCATATCATGGCATGAAACACCTTCCCAGATCGGGCCCAAGTCTGGCCAGACTTGGGCCCGATCTGGGAAGGTGTTTCATGACATGTTATGGCCTAAATATGGCAATTTCTACACGGGATAAAATAAAATATCGAATGAAACAATCAATCATTTAATAATACCAAGAATCATAAAAAAATTCGTAAACATTGAGAAGTGAAAGAACACATTAATCAAATAAAAACAAAATGAAGATAAATTGAATTCTAAATCAATTAAAATTTCGCCCAGAATTATTACAGTTTAGTTAGACTTTAATAAACGTAATTAAGATTTATCTGCATTTGAGTAGCGTAAGAAAACTTTAGTCATACCACACAATTTATTTGAAACCAGAGAATAGTATAAGAAAACTGTGATCCGACATTAATGTGTGGTTGGCAAAAAAAGGGGTTGAAGAATTTCACTTGAATTTCCAACTGAAATTAGCAGAGTTTAGTTAGACTTTTACATTTAAAAAAAAAGTAATAACTAAATCAAGATTTATCGCTAGTGAATTTCCACGTGCAGCAAAAAGAAAACTCTCCGAACAAAATTTATCGACAATTGAGTATAGTAGAAAACGACAATGGCCAGACGTTTAAAATTTAAAAAAAAACTCTAAAAAGTTGAAAAAAACATCACTTTTCTTTCGCCGAAAAAAAGAATAAACAAGATAAAAAAAAATCCCTCATTAGTGATGAGAATACAAGAAAGGAAACCTTCAATCAGACAAAAGACGAGTGGAAAAAAAATTTAATAGAATTCAAAGATCCTTAAATTTTCAAGAATACATAGCACCGCTTTATTTAGACTTTTCTTTTATAGAGCTCATTAGTGGTTCAGTAGTATAAACCGGGATTTGCATGTAATTCAGTAGTTAAAGAAGGCTTTAGTTAAACAACCACTCGTGAGGAGAGTTTAAGTACAAAATTTTTTCACTTTATCCAAAAAGTAGTCTCGCTTAATGATAAAAACGTCCAGCGCCTTTTTTGATAGGGCCAAAAGAAACTTAGGTGATTCCTTTCAAACTGAAATTATTAAATTATTTTTAAAAAAATGAAAAAGTTTAA